CCACCAAGTCGGCAAAGTACCACCCCCGACGAATCGGGTCCACTCCAAGTCGATAACAGAGCCGGCTCCGAAAGTATACGAACCCCCGCCTTGGATGCCTCATAGAGAGAAAGAGTGTGTTAACTACGAATAATATTTATTTTTTTCTTATTACTCATAAGTTTTTGGTAACCTAGATAAAAAAGAAATTGCAGGAGATAGACAACAAGAACCATTTGGACCGGTATAGGTAGACAAGGTCATGATCCGGGATAGAATGGATCAACCCTGGAAAAAAATTGTCTAATTATTTTTACCTTCATTCTGTTCACAAGTTTTTTTTTTTTTACATTACCCATTGAAATTATTAATTTCAAAATACAATTACTTTTAATATGCAGGCACACGAAAGGTAGAAAGAGGGCAATCATTTTTTTCATATCAAATGGGCATAATAAATCTTCTTTGCAAGCATCCTTCGACCTACCTGTACAGACCGCAAGTAAAACAACAAATTCAAAGGAACCCAATGCAACACCATACTCAAGTCAGACCTTTTCATTCATATGCGAAAACTCATTTTCTTTGCCTTTTCAATGAACCTTCAATGAACAGGGTCAAGCAAGTGTGGGTTCACACAGGTGTGAAGGAAATCGGAGTCAATCAACCGACAAACCTTGAGTGAAGTTGTAAAAATGACCCACTTAAGAAGACCGTAAAGAATCATGCCGCTTGATGAAAAGATTGTCGTAACAAATCGTCAGCAAGTGATCCACCCCACTCCCTCAGAAAATGATCACCTGTCGTGAGACTGCCCCAACACACAATCACTCCTTACAATTTGACAGCGTCTCAAAGTCGTCGTCCCTCGCCTCCAATGTCATTGTGTCAGTGCAGTGTCACACTTATGTCACTTCAAAGTGCACTACTACTTTGGCGACACCTTTCTTATGCCAATGCACAGTCACCGCTCTATGTAGTCAGCATAAAAATGTTGTCACCACCACCGTGAAAAACCGGCAGCGCTTCCGCACTACTACCAAAATTACACTCCTGTGAATGTGCAAAACAGGCAACACTTCCCCTTGCATTTCAACGAAAATAGTTGTCGCCGTGGGTAGCGCTTCCGCGTCACCACCTGAACAGGCTGCCTCCACCACGAAACAGAAGACCTGCAACATTTTCCCTCACAATACTGTCGTCGATGTGCCTCCATCTGGACAGCATAACCCCCAAAAATAATGTCCACGCCACCTCCAATTTCGGCAGCATGATTCCACTGAATACACTGTCGTTGCTGCGCCGCTGATCGAGCAGCACCTTCCCACACTCACATTAAAAAAAACATCAGTGCCTCGTTGCAATCCGGCAGCACCTTCCCTTAGGAAGATCTTGATGTCGCGGCGGCAGTCCGGCAGCACAACTCCACTAAAATAGATACCACTTGCCGCACCATCCGGACCCCTACGCAGTCTTGCCGCTGCAGCACCAACCCACACACACAACACACGCACAAGGGTGGGGCAAGAAACTCCCAACCCTTAACTATGGCTGCCTCCCTTCTCACTCTCCATTTTTCTGCATACCTCCACTCCACCAGCACCTCCTCCACCGGCAGCACCGCCCCTCTCCAGCAGCATGCAGCAGCTAGCCAGCATTCACTCAAGTGAATGCCCCAGCAGCACTGCCACAAATGTCAGGCTGCTGGGTGGAGTGTTCGCTTGTATAGCCAGCCGAAGGCATGTGGGCAGCTACTTTGCCCACATCCAGACAAAATTTGTGGGTGCTCCTGGCCCTCGATCTAAATCAACGGCCAGGAGCCAGATGCCTTGGTATTTCCCTAGGGGAACCAGGGTCATCAACCCCCAGAAGTATCTGGCAGTTTTCCCAGGCCAAAACGACACCAGGGAAACTTAAAAAAAAAAAAAAAAAAAACCTTACCTGTTTGTGGTCACGTTGCAGCCGCGGCCAGGTAAGACACTCCTCTCCTCCTTCTCTCTCTCTATATCTATCTATCTATCTATCTATCTATCTATCTATCTATCTATCTATCTGTGCAAAGGTCGCGCCCGCTCATCGTGAACCAATACCACTCAAAGCGTGTGCAACGAGTCCCCCGTAACTCAAGTACAAGGTCCCAAACCCCGCACCCGAACAAAACCGCGTTCACGAGGTAGATTCATTCGAATTTGTTCACCTACAGCAGGGTGCCTCAGTGAGATCCAAAACAAATAAGACAAAAAAAATGAAATCTAAAAAAAAAAAAAAGGTAAAAATCTAACACAAATCTTAAGGAAAAATATATAAAGGAAAAAAAAAAATAAAAAAAAATCTTACCTTGTTTCAAAAACGGTCGCCCGTTTTCACGGGCGCTACCATGCTTGCTGGGGATTGAAGTGGCGCAGGAAGTTCTAAGTGCGCCTCACGACGCTTCTCTTTTATGTAAGTTTTAGGTTTTTTTTTTTTTTTTTTTTTTTCCCCTAAAATTCGTTGGCTTATGCCAACGGACACCTTTGCGTTCGTGGTACTCCCATGAACTCTTGAAATCCAGACCCGAGTTCGATCCCTACCAGGATTGAAAGAAAAAAATAAAAAATAAAAAATTGGACCATTTCTTGATTTATGCGTGTCATCCTTGTGCAGGCGCCATACTGATTCGCGCGGTCGATTTTGGCCGCTCGATCTACCAGATCGGGCGGCCGAAATTGGCCACGTCACATCAAGAGACCAGGCTGCTCCTGACAAAAGGAGCTAGCCCAGTTACGTATTCGTCGTGCTCGATCCCTGAGTCTGCAGGGTAATAGTCTGACGGGAGTACCTAGAAGGCTAGCTCCTTTCTCACACTGAGAGAGGACTCCGAGCAACCCTTGTATATGAAGAGCAAAGGCGCCCAGCAGGCCTCCCTCCAGCGCTAAGCCGGCCCGCCTGTTACCGTGGCTGGCTGGTTGGGTTGGCAGCCCATGGCCTTAACAACTGCCCCACTCGGCAGGTCATAATGTCATCCCCATCGGTCCTCGGCGCGAAAGCCCCGAGGACCCCAAAAAAAAAAAAAATCCTATTTCCTCTGCGCCGCAGTTCCATCCTCCATCGTGGAGGCCCCTTTTCAACCTACTTTGGCCCTAAATCTTATGGTTGTCAGTCTTTTAGGTAAAGTAGTCCAGTTTCAGTCTCTCCACGACCATGTGCCCCTGCAGCCCTGTCGGGAACCGCTGACGATAGGTCGTACCAACAACTCCCGCTGTTTCAATCGGACGTCAACGACGTCAGGTTCTTAAAAAAATTTAACTCTCTCAAGGGCTCGTTTGACTTTCCTCGGGCATGTAAATCCCCGAGGAAATCGTCATTCCACTTATCCTCGGGGAAGAAAATGAAAAACAAAATTATGTGAAAACATTTCCTTGGGGATTCCTCGGGGATTCCTCGGGCCACAGCCATTTCGACGCGTTCCCCAAGGGACCTCCCGAGGTCCCTTGGAGGTCGAGCATCCGAAAGAATCTGGGCGTCGACGGCAACTCTGTCGACGACAATTTTCGACGCGGCTGGTCCATTGCTGTTCCTGGCGGCCCGTGGACGGACATCTCCGGTTGGCAACGGTCAGCGTCATGGAATACTCCGCCAACAGTTGCCTTTGGCGGTCTGCCGTCGTCCGCGACGTCGAAAAGGGGCTGCCTTGCGTCGCTGCCCTTCGACGGTAGCGGGAAAGCGCCCAACGGTCGGCGGATTCGAATACTTCAGCCGGCCCCCACTCTCGTGATCGCGTAGTGTCTTCGGCGACGGAATACGTTAGCCTGCTTCAGTCGGTATCTGCGATCGGCCGTTTGCGCCACTCACCCTTGCCCTTTCCTGGACGTCCACCGTTGCCTTCTAGCTGTTGGCGTCGTCCACGTGCGTTTCATGGCCGACGTCTTTCGGAGGCTGCCGCTGCTGGTGCTGGTCGTCGTCGTCCTCCTCCTCTTAGTTCTCTTCCACGTGTGTATCCTCGGCATCGTTCCACGACCGCAGATGACGTTCTTCGAAGAAGGACGTCTGTATGGAGGGGCAGCAGGGGATGTGCAGGTCTACAGGGGATGAGGGTGGGGGCCACCGGGCTGGGCAAAGCCCGTCGAGAAGTTCAAGGCCGTCGGAGCGGTCTGGGTACGCACACCTGCGACCGCACTTGCAGCCTCTGCCGGACACGTCTGACGAGGAGGAGGAGGACAAAGGGTCACATACCGTGCCGCTGGGAAGCGGGTCCACCGAGGAGTGGGCGGCCACAGAGCTCTGTGGAAGCCGCGACGGCGGTTATGGCCAGTCGTACACCGAACTCCTCCAGCAGGGGCTGCATGGCGACGAATTCGATGGAGGCGTGAATCTGTCATTTGGGCTGTACAACGGAAGGTCGTCGGCCGCGTCGCGAACGGTGATCGTGAACAACCATCCCGACGACGAGGGCGGGCAGGTGACGGTTGTTGCGCAATCATCGAAGTCTCCAGCTCCGATCCGGAAGGCGTCGAGGATCAACAAGGGTCCTCCGAGGCAGCAATTCCGAACGCCGTCTGTGTCGAGGCCGGCCTCAGATCGCCCCCTGTGGATGCAGTCTCCGTCTCCCCTGTCCGCCAGTTCGACTGCAGCCCGTCGTGGACGCGAATGCAGGGAGACGGATTGCGGCATCGACGATGTTGGTGATGCACTCGACAGGAGGGAGTTATGGGCAGAATAGCGACGGACGCTTCATCCACTGCGGGAGGAATCCATAACTCGGGGGGTGCAGCGACTACGTGTGGGGAAGCGCGAAAACGACGGCGATGTACCTGCGGTGAATGCGGACGATCAGGAGTGGAACGACGACGACGGCGAACGTGGGGAGGACAACGCAGGCCATGTACCGCCGTCGAAGCAGAGCAAAATGGGAGGGAGGGGCGGGAAGACGAGGGCGTGTGCTCGCAGTGGTCGTCGGGGGAAAAAAGCGGCGCGGAAGGGGAGCGATGCCGAAGCTGACGGTGATGCGAAGGAGGTCGTCACTTCTGGTCCGTGGACGGCATGATAGCTCTCATCCGGGCTAAACGTGACCAGGACGCGCATCTGCAGGGGATGGGTACTGCGTGCACTCGTATGAAGCCACGAGAATGGAAGTGGTTGGATGTGGAGCACAACTTGAAGAAGGTGGGCGTCGACAGAGAAGACGAACGGTGCAGGAAGAAGTGGGACAATTTGATGCAGCAATTCAAAAAGGTGCATCACTTCCAAGGCTTGTCAGGGAAGCAGGACTTCTTCCAATTCTCTGGGAAAGAGAGGTTGTCGAAGGGCTTCAATTTCAACATGGATCGTGCAGTTTACGACGAGATCCTGGGTTCGACTGCGAAGAGCCACACCATAAACCCCAAGAACGTCGTTGACAATGGTGCTCCGAGTGGTGTGCGTCTGCCGTCGGCCACTTCTGAGGAGCCTGAATCTGTGGGCGATGGGGCGCTGCTGCAGGGCACGACGACGACGAGGACAGGTCGACGAGAGGTTCTTCTCAGACGACGGGAAGCCATGCCGGTTTCGGCAAGCGGAAGAGCACGAGGCAGCAAACATTCGAAGCACTGACGAATTGCATGGAGAAGCACGGGGCTCTGATGGCGTCGACGATACTCCATCCAAATCCGGCAATGCGAGGCGTTGGAAGCAGAGGTGGAAGTTCAAAAAAAACACTACGTGGCATCTGACGAAGTTAGCAAACTGATGTGTCACGCTCTTTTGGAGATAGCGAAGGCCATCCTCGAGCGTTAAAGCTCGTGCAGCCTCTGTTGTGCGCCCTGTCGCTTCCATCGTCTGCAAGACTCGAAAGTCAAAGCCTTTCCGTCATCGTTGTTCCCGTCGCCTGCCTGTCGAGGACGTGGCGGTTCCTGATTGGGCGTGCTGGCCAGGGAAGTGGGTGGTAGTCTGATTGGGTGGTTGACTCCACCAGTCACATTGACATATGTTGTGTTTTTTTTTTGTTTTTTTTTTTTTAGGGTTACTTGTAGGCCACTGCCTTTTACCGGGACAGATTATTCCGTCATCTTTGGATTGTATTGGCGACGATGAAGTGCAGTATGCACTTTCCTTTTTTAAATGACGACTTCGATTTGCTTTTTCTCTCTCCATTTCTATGTATGTACTTGTCTCTCTCCCGTTGTCTCTCTCCCATTGTCTCTCTCTCTCTCTCTCTTTCTCTCTGTCTCTCTCTCTCTCTCTCTCTCTCTCTCTC